GGGGGTGGTCAGGGAATAACCTTTAAAAGTTAAAAACTGATAGTTTTTTAAAATCAACTATTCAACTATGAGAAATACATCCCAGTATGTGTGTTTTTGTTTTGGTCTGCGATGCAATGGGAGGGTTCCGCATTGCCACGGTAGTGCAAAGTGACATGGTGGAAGTCTAGCAAACTCCAATTGAACAAATAGTTAAAGCTGTGGAATACATGCTGAACCTTTCACTCCTTCGCACAAAGGGAACTCATTCACTGAAACTGTGTCTTCTACATGTGGGGGGGGGGTCTCTTTTTCACCACACGCGTTGAACAAATGATGTCTTTGTTGGATGATTCGCCAACTCGCCAACTGCAAAAAGTACCAGACCGGTGGGTGATGAGTGCTGCTTTGTGCTGACCGACGCGACGCCTTCTCGGCCAAAGCGCCACTTCAGCCACTCGAGCCTGGTGCTGAGTCCATCTAAAGTCTGATTGTGTGCTGCATATAGGTGTGACACCATGCCCAAGAAACATGACTCAAAAGGTATAAACTTACAAAAGCTTGAGAGGAACACAAAGGACAATCATATAGGAGCCTCAGGAGGCAATACACATGGAAAAGCCGGGCACTGACTTTCCTATGCACTTGTCTTCCGGACTTTTAAGGCAAGTTCTCCTAATTCTATCAATAAGGTTGGTGATCCTGGAAACGGGGTGGTGCGCTGCAATTATACAGTAAATCATGTGTAATCATTGCTTTCTTGCAGGTGGACTTGCGATTTCAGCTTTCAAAACATATCCCACGTTCTGGTGGGAAAATGCAGAAAATTGTTGTTGGTTGAGTGGTTGTCGCCTCAAGGACGTTTTGCATGTTTTGCACTGTAGGCCTCCATGGTTCAATACGGCCCACCCCCCACCAACATCTTGTCCAAGAGCGATGATGCGAACATCTTGTCCAAAGGCAAATATTTGGACCTTCAACAAGAGAACCAAACGATGGACACATGCCTTCAACTATGGACACATGCCTATGGACACATGCCTACATGGTCTTTGGACCTTCAACAAGATGGCATAATATAAGTAAATTGCATCAACCGCATCCAAGATTTGCCCCTATCAGGCCAGCAAAGACCCGGCTGAAGGAGTTGAAGAACGTTCTGTGGGAGAGTGTTTTGGGGGTCCACGCATCGCCCAAACACTCCATGTATGGAATATATGCCTATACATTGATCCCTTTTCAACCACCCCAATGTATATATATAAATATGCCATAGATGGAGTGTGAGGGTCTGGAACTGCCAAAACTTCATGTATTAGACTTTTGGAGCTGGTCCACTGGGGTGGTGGGTGGTGGTGTCTAGGTGTTCTTGGTGGTGGCAGGCTCCTTTTTGTATCGCATCTGAGACTCCCCCCCTACCACCGTCTGTGGCATACTCCCGTCCTCTGATTCTCTTGCAAGGCATACTCCCGCAGCATCTCCTGTGACGTGACGTGCCGTCTTCCGGCGAAACAGCGGTGACTGACGCCGCTGCCTTTGTGGACCGCACACCGCAAGAGGTGATTGGTAGGCCCTCACTTGGTGGACTGGATTTTCCAAGTGGAGATACTGATCGCTGAAGGTCTGGTGCGCTTCTTGAAGTTCCAAAATCAACATCGTTCTCCACTTCCATCTGTCTTTATCTTTCTTTTTCTCTCTCTTTCTCTCTCTCTCTCTCTGTCTTTCTCTGTGCACCCTCTGAATTTAGGACGATGCGGCCCCAAAAGCACCTGCATGTAAAACATGAAAAGATCCCATCCTAGAGGAGACAAAGCAGGAAATGGGTGATGGAAATGCACGTGATTGTAGGCGTTCTCCTTGTTCTTGGACCTGAAGGGGCCTGCCATCCGCACAGCCCCATACAGCACCACTGGCTGGACTCGTTTTTTTCCATCGCCAGACGTTCTTTGCGGCCTAGGCCGGTAGCTCGGAATCACCACCAGGAGGTGGATTTGCAGTTCACTTCCTGGGATGCGGAGGACGCGGGCTCCGCGTGGCGGGGGACGACCTGCCACGGTGAGCTTCGGTGAAGCAGGTCGTGCCATGACCTGTTTCGCTCGTCGAGAGGCGTCAAGCGGCCAAGTGTTCGACGGATCGGTGGTGAGACGGCGCTCTTGCGCCTGGCGAGCCCGTGATTCTTACAGCATCCTCTCCCCCCTATCTCTGTGGCCAATTGAAGAGTATACCACGAGTCTAACTGCACCAATGGATCAGTTCACCAGTGACAATTGGGAAACATATACATAATCATATCATAGCAATTATTGTAATACGAGGGGACCACGTCGGGAAAAACTACACTTTGTAATGCTGGATGTGCAAAGTGGCTACAAGTACTGGGTGGGTGGTCATCACTCCATGCGAGGGCAACCGTTCCATGTGACGGAAACCTGTTTCTTTCAAGAAACTTCGCCTCATCCCTCCGCCACCCCATCCTGCTTTCCTATCCAAGCCACACAGTCGATGCCCTCACAGCAGGCTGAGGCCGCATCATCGCAACACTTGCGCCAGACCTTGAAGCTCCGCTGCGCACACTGGGCCACCTGAGGTACGAGCGAGGCTTTGTGTTGGAGGGCTACAGCCGGTCCTCACCAACGGGTCCAGCCCCATGTACCGTGTCTAACCCTGGACCCTTTGGGCTTGGACCCTTCGGGCTCGGAGGAGTCCGAGGCACCATGGTGAAGCCGCTGTTGGCGTTGCCCGACTGGCGTGTCTCGCGGCACTTGCAGCCAATCTTGCTCCGGCAGGGGCCTGGCCAATGGGCATCCATGGGCCAAACATGGTGAAAAAAAGAAAGCCATGGCGGGAGGAGATGGGACCAACCGATCGAGTTAGAGAAAAAACACATAATACTATATATATATAATATCTTTTAACAAGCCTCCTGCAGCAACTAAAAGGAAAGAACTGGAAAGGTGGGCTTTTCTTCCTACATGGATGAGGGTCCCACATGGGATCTCAAATGATCTCAACATCTTCACACCAAGGAGCTCAAAACTGCCTTTCAAAAGCCAGCAATGACCTTGTGCCCGGCGGGTGGTCCTTTTTCTATGAACATGGCCACAATTCAATGAAGTAGGTGTTGTGTTCAATCATCTGGATTTGCTCTCTGTATAGTACTCCCAAGTGGAGAGCGACACGGTGTCCAATACATTGGGGGCACTGCAACATCCAACCAGATCTCCCATGCAATGCTAGCCAGCGACATCGGTGCCTTCATCACCATAAGTGTATCTACCATCGTAGCGACCTTGGATTGCGCGTGTGTTGGTCCTCTGCAGAATTCCCTTGGACACTCCAATGTGCTCCCTATCAAAAAATATAACAGGACAAAAAAAAAGCACTATATAGTCACATGCCAAATCTCGTGTCTCTACTGTCTAAAACCCTGGCTTTCAAAATCTTTCAATCGTCCTCTCTGGTGTTCAACCATTCAACCAATAACAATTTTATGAGAGAACCAATGGACACAGCACGAATTTGCTGCATTTTATGTATGGTTTGTCCACTTGGCCTTGGGTTGGGTAACCTATGGTCACCTCTTCAACACCAAACTGACCAACGCTTCAACCACCGCGGTGCTGCCGCGAGATCCACAGGCTTTCAAAGAGCCTGGGGCCTTTGCCGTGCATTGCTCCTCGGTGGATTGGAAATTTGGCGGTGCCGTCCAGCAAAAGAGTGAGCTGAGGGATTATACTGTAATCGATTCAACGTTGACAGGAAATACATGACGTACATGATCCGGCAGCGGAACGAAAACCCCAAAAAAACACTTCTCTATCCATAGGACTCATCAACTAAAACCATGTCGAAATCCTGGCAGCTTCAAACAGAAAAGAACATGGTCAGCTGCTCCGGCTACAATTATGCTTTTCACACCTCTGCAACAGCAGCGGTTGCAGTTCATGTCGTAGTCATACCAACCAACCAACCAACCAACCAACCACGCCCAAAACTGTGCTCAGCCCATGAAGGCCACAGCTGCCGCTGGTCATGTCATGCAAGCAAGGCTCACAACGCTGGTAGTACCAATAGTAGCCTTAAAGGAAGAAGAACGACGGCCGATCACAAGCGAAATCAACACCTGGCCCTGTTGGGTGTCGCACAGCTTGCAGGTAATCCTTGGTCATGTAGACTCTCGATTCGTAAATCCCCTCAAATCCTCTGCACCTCTGGGGCCGTTTATAGTCTACATTAAGAGTCTATAGAGGATCACCCTCAACAAACAAGCCTCAAAGGCCCGAGGAACATGAGAAAACTCGTTTGAACCACTGAAGAACCTGTGGTATTGGGCTGATGCACATGATGCCCACAGCCAAAACAAACATCTTGTGATCTGCCCTTCTTCATCCGCGCTTCCGCACCGTTCACAGTCTCCACAAAACCGTGAGCTTTTGGAAAGCTTCAGCACTCCAAATGCGAATCTGAGAAGCCAGTGAGGCCGCGACCATAGGTGCGCCAGCTCCTTAGATCAAGCTGGGATGCCACATTTTGGCAAAAATAATCCAACCCAAGCAAGCAATCATACTTCTGGCTTCACCAACATCAAGGCTACTCACGTGGAGAAGGGTAGCCAACATTCAGGTCTTCCCAAGGTTCGAGGAGCTCGAAGTTGCCCCGGCTGGGCAGGCAGAAGTCAAGTTTGCCACATGCTCGATGCGGGCCTGAGCAGTTCATGGAAAGAACATGGAAAAGCATGACATGTCGATTGCTCCATCGGAATCCGATGCTTATTCAATCCGATGCTTGTTCATCGTGAGCGTTCGATTCAAGAGACCTTCCATAGGGTTCATGTTCGTAATAACCTCATGGTGTTCATTGGTTTTTCTCACACGACAGTCATGTCAACGTGTCACATTGAGGTGCGCCCACATGTTGATCATTAAGGTTTCGTCAGGCTTTCGGGTCCGAGGCCAAAGCAATGCGGCTTTGGAGGGATCTATTCCTTCTCTGTTTGCAGCACACGAAGGTGGAGCTTGGGCGGGCACTGTACAATTCACGTCGCAGCAGCCCGGCGCTCCGTCTATCCATCTGCCAAGGCACTGCCTGGCTTCCAAGCAGACTCGCGAGGAGCCAAAATGGAGCCATGAGTGGAGTTCACCTGACGGCTAAGAAATTGCTGTTCGCCTGAAATGGACCAAATCAACAATCCACACAAAAAAAAGAAACACAAACATTAGAGAAACCATCCAGGCACACATGGCACACTATAGAGAGTAGCATAATGTAGCATAGGAGATCATAGGAGTCGGAGTAAGCAACTAGTATTTGACCTCATTTCTCAGGTTTTTGGGTCAAATTCAAGATTTGGATCCCTCCAGTCTTTGAACTTCTCGGGACTGAACCACGATGGGCTTGAAGGGCCCAGTGAGGCTCAGAGCGGAGGAAGGTGTTTGGGATTCAGAAAGCCTTTGCATACCCTAAGGACCTCATTTGACTCGATCCGGTCATGCAAAACCACTACAATGAGGTCAAGGACCAGGTTTGGCCCGACTGGACTTGTAGGTATATATGCGAAATCAATCCTTTTCGCCGCGGCCGGCTCGTTTCGTGCGAACTGGCCTGGAAGTTTTCAGGCAACAGTTGCTGGCCGGCTCGTGGCGGAGCCAAAATGGAATTGGATTGCAAGACGAAGACACGTGACACATGCGTTTCACCTTCACCCGATGGGGGCTTTATAGGTACTCAGGATGTGTCAGGGATCGTGAACGGTTTATAGGTGTTCCAGCCTGCGAGTATAGCGAAACTGCAGGATGACATAGGTCTGTAATGGTCTGTAGCACTCCCTCCTTGTTCAGAGTTGAGTCATGCTGAGCCTGAACCAGAGTGTTAGGTAGAACTTTAGCTCCCATACGGCATCGAAAGTGAAAGTAGCGAGCGTCAGACTCCCAAATTCATGTGCGTCATCCCAACAAATACCTCCAAGATCCTCCAGTCCAGTGCAGGTCCGACTCAGTCCTTCGACCTTCGAACCGCCGCGGCTGTTTGACGCGGCAGACCCCGAACCGCCGCGTGGGGGCGCGTCCTGCGTGTCGGCTTCGAGCTCCTCTTCCAGCTCCGACTCGGACCGAGCCTCGGAGCTGGGTCTTTCTGAACACCCGACGTGACGTGGCGATGAGTGGAGTGTTCGTGCGGACACGTTTTGTTTTTTTTAATTATGATATAGCTTGATGTTAGCTGATCTTGTATTAGCTGATGTTAGCTTGAAAGAGCTGGATAATGAGCTGGAAATGGCTGGATAATTATGTAACGTGAGTCTAGAAAAGGAAGTTAAGGTCTATGCATGGCAACATGAGGCCCTCATAGATCCTCAGCCAAGCGTGTTTTTGGACCCCCTCATTTCCCTGTTCTTCGTGGGGAAACCAGCCCCCAAAAAGGGTCAAAGGCTACACAATTGTACACTGCATAGGCACCCCCCGTCAGCAGTGTTATAGGCACACCCTACACCACTGTAAAGGTCAAAGGGTGTGCCTATACACTGCTGACTTGCCTATGCTGCGGGGTTCGCGAGGTCAGAATTTGTGACAGGGGTGGCTTCAGCTTCGCGCAACACCAGGGGCTGAAGTTGAAGTGGTTTCGAGGATCCTTTTCTTCGGCAATTCAGTTGAGAAATTGCTTTAGAAGTTGAAGATGAATTGAGCTGGGAATTCAGTTTCAGAAAATTGCATATAGACTCAAAGTTTGCCTTCGGAAAAATGCTTCACCTGAACTCCCAGCCGACAACAAAGGTTTCGATACACGTCATGTACCACATAAATGCTTTCGCAAAAAAATAAAGAGTTGGGGTAGCCACAATCGACTTAGAATCTTTATATTTTTGGCATTCAACATAACACTGCATGCCCTGCGGATCTGCAGTGAGAATCTCTAGAAATCATGCATATTCACTCACACAGCACCCCCCCACCCAAAAAAAAGACTGATGTTTTGAACAAACTGAACGAATCTTTTTTCTGGCGGCCAAATGATGCTTCAATTGTCTGGTCGATCTTTGCACATTCAGCCGGGCAAAAGAACGGAAGATTCCTATAGATTCCTCACCCCTGTCTCTCTCTCTCTCACACACCTTCACAGTTTGGGGTCGAAACTTGTACTTATAGCCCAGTGTGCCGTGTCAACAACAACCCGGTTTGTCTTGAAGATCTTAGCTGCCCTTGAACACTCCTGGCAGTCAATGGCAGCAAATCATCGGTTGAATCGGTTTAACCTCAAACAATCCAAACAAGTCTTCTGCCATCCAGGAGCATCACTCCTGGGAACAGCTGCTAAATCTGAGAGGCCCCTCATGTGGCAGGTCATTCAACAACCCCAACAATGGTAGAATCCATCCTTCATTGCCGTGATGATCCATCTCACTTGCGGGGGGTTCTTCTGCCAGCCCGGAAGCCACCTCTGGTCTTATCTCGCAGTGGAACGACCAACCAGCTCAGTGTGACGAGCAACGCTGATGAAAGCCAAGGCAGCTGTAGCACCCATGATGCCTGCACCTGGAGGGAGGGACCTTCTCTGGGTATCTCTGGGTCAGGTCGAGATGAAACGACCCGGCCGGTTGCACCGGGCTTCAGGGTTTCAAGGCGACAAGCGGTGGCATGTTTGCTTGTAGAAAATGGTGAGACGATGACAGCAAATGACATCCATATTACATACGCCTGTCTTTGCATATATACATACTTATCCTGCTTGTCTTTAATGTACGAATGAATGCATCTACAAGGCAATGTGCTCAAGTTCCAGTGATTTCAATCGACGATTCCGTGGTTTCTGCGTCTCACCAGTGAGTTCGAATAGAGGTATACAATCTTCTTGGCCCTGGCCCCAACACATCCAAGGACAATTCCTCGTGTTCTTCTATTCATGACTGCTGGGAACTTGGGATGAAGGAAATTGTCATGTCTCAACACAAAACTCCAGAAAAACGAGGGCATCCGGGCATACCTGGTGTCCTTCATGGCTGCATCAAAGCCGTCTGGGCTGCTTGTATATACCTGGGTTTCAGGGCTCTCTCGTTGCCCATTGCTGCAACTGCTTTGGCTTTTTGCATATCAGTGCTATGAAAAAGATTCAAAGCATAGTCCTGAAGATGTCCTTGCTTTTGTTTTTCTGGCCTGCCCTGCAACACTTGATCCTGATTGTTACAGCATTCAGTTGCTCAAAGAACTGCACCAGCGAGGGATGCACCATGATGCACATGGCCGAAGAATGCAAAGAAATAGGTCTGTGACCTCTGAAAACTAAACCACCAGCGAATAGGTAGACTTTGTCACCTGTTTGGTGTTTGTAAATCAGTACGAAGCTCAAAAATTGTTTGTTTCACCCCCCAAAAGCGGCAGAAGGTCCTCATCCCAGCACTGCAAGCAGCAAAGCCTTATTATATATATATATATGTTAGTGCCACTCTAAGGCCATTGGCAGCATCGATGCCAAGGGAGTGACCTCTGCTGCTGACTAGGAGGGCGTGAACGCAGCTATTGGACGCATTGTTGCATCGGTGCCAAAAGCGACAGTGATGGATGTGTACAACTCAATGGCTGCAGTGGTGGATGGAACTGTCCCCAACAACATGTTCTCCAAGGTGAACCCTCTTGATGCAGTTGCCGCTGCGAAGGGCTTCTACACCGTCTGACCCAGTGTGGGTCGTTCAGTCTTACCCAGGGGATCCTTTTTTGCTTCGCTCAACCTGTTCCTGTTCCTTGGCACCTGCAGCAATTCCAAAGACTTTGGAGAAAATGGCCACCAAAGCCACGAAGCCCTGGACTCGAGGGCGCTCTCGAGCTCCAGCTCCAGCTGGTGAGGGAGTGGCAGGAAACAGTAGGGAAAAGTGACTGTTGAGATTACAGTAGTCAAGAATAGTCAAGATCTGATTGAACATGAGTTGTAGAGAATACAGTGAATGAACATGCCGTGTCAGTGGCGAGGCCAAGTCCTCAATAGTCCTTGTCTCCTTAGACATGTGTTTTTACAAGGTCTCTTAACTGGGACTCAGTCCCGGTCCGTATGTGGATCTGCCAACTCTCCCACTCTTTGAAGCACATCCCATGCAATCCAGGCATCCCATGCAATCAAAAACCGAGAAGCGCCACCCAACCGATCGGCCGAATGCCCACGACGTGTTCGGAAAACGAGTCGCCATCAAGAGAACGAGGCAAAAGCCAAGGACGGGCAACGTGACCTGGCGGGAAGGAAGAGACCGACCGTTGGTCCCACCGTTCAAGGGATCAGTGCGAACAAGGTGGTGATCGCATTCTTAGTCATTTTTCCGAATTGGACGGACAATGACGGACATACTTGTTTCCTGATGCAATAAAGGTCAAGTCTAAGTGGATGTATATAGGTCAACTCGTTCTACATGGCTTTGCAGACTTTCAGGGTCCAACGTTTGTTTGCAGCAGCTTTCGCTACCCCGGAGAAGGCTCACTCTTCCCTATCGATTGGGATCATCGCCACAGTAGAGTGTCCCGATTCGGCATTAGAGACCCTTATAACCACGGCTTGGTCGAGTGCGTCCCCGCTTTGCTGAGATCGTCCGAAGCGTGCGCCTGTTGTGGAGACGGCAGGAGGGCCTGGAAGGGCCTGGAAGGGCCTGGATGCTTGGAATGGTTCCTCTGCACCCAGTCCGACGGCCTGGCGTACAAACCTGGCTCGACCGCACCTTGGCACGAAGATCCGCCCATGCTTCCAGCATGCCATGGACCCGGCAAGGCAACCCTGAACGACAATGGCCGGCCAAAGAACAATAGCCATGACGTGAGGTGTGCAATGGCTGTCCATCTCCTGCTTCCACGCATGATGCTGTTCCTTCTAAGCCAATCGGCTGATTGTCCATGGGTCACACTGGAGTCTCAGTATGGACTCATGCGCATAGTGTCAAAGCACCTGCTTGCAACACATTGAGTTCACTGCCTTTAGACTCACTACATTGTGTATATATACTATATATTGTATTATTGGACATATGTATATGTTACACAGCATGCCGCCGGTGATCGCCAATGCAAAGTCTTTCCTTCACCAGCCTTCATCATGCCACTGTGGTATATATAGTCTCTATATAGTCAATATAGTGCCTCTTTCTATTTAGTCGCTCGATGCACTTCTAGGGGGCTTGGAGTCAATTTGGGAGCCAGTTGAGGCCTACGTCATCTTGGCATGACCGTCCAAATCCAGGTATGTCCGGAAAACACTGTGCTTTTCCAACGATGTTTCTGGAGCCAAGACTGCGACGCGTGGCGATTGTGTGAAGCTCTAAAACTTCAAACAGTGACCTTGAGGCTGCTGGGAGCTGGGTGCTGACCCGTTTTTTTGGATGCAGTAGCGGCATAGCATGTAGACCTTTTTCTACTCTCAGAATTTGCTGCAGGTGTTGGATGACCACTGCAAGCGACAATATGGGCAGGGCGGCGTGACGTTGTTCATGCCATCATGGGGTCCTGCAGTTCATGAGCCGCCAAATCCCCGCATGACACCGCAAGGACAACAATGTCAGCACACTTGCCACGCAATGTCAACAGTTCCCCAGGGTCCAGTCTATATAAAATGCAAAAAATAGTATTTTGACTAGCACCCTGACTTTGCAAGAATGTTGATGATTCTGCTCTTGTGCTCTTCTCAATGCCTACAGTGCAGGCAGGTTGCCCACCACTGTTGGTCGTGCAAAACATCCGGCACCAGCTGGGAGGGTGGGAGGAATAAATCTCCGAAACATAGAATGATTTGAGGCAATTGTTCGACCTTTGGTTGGTGCCCATTCCTTTCACCTTCGATTCTGGGCTGTCAGGGCTGTCACAACGGAAGAACGCCTTTGCTGGTTGGCCGAATCGATCCTGGAAAATACATGGGCTCAACATACAAAACACTGAACAGAACTGAACTCACCTAAACATTATATAAGTTTATGTCTAAAATCAAGTTCAAAAACAATGATTGATTCTAAACTCATCGAACTTGTTCTTGAGGAGAGGATCCCGAACTCCAACAAGCGTGGACCTCACATTGCATGGTGCACAGCGCAGGGCCTTTTACTGCCATCTGTGGGTCCAATATGCAAAGAAATACTTTGTGGGAGAAGGATGAAGTTGCTACCATTCAATGTGTGATTTCTTCTGTTTCGTGCTGTATCATCTGTATCCTATGGCACAATATATAGATCAAAAGAAACACAAACATTCTTCTTGCTCAAAAAAATGACCTCCCTCTGGCTTTTCTTTCGCACCAAAGAAACTTTGACGGAAAAAAAAAAACAAAAGCACAAGCAGCCTGCAACGTGTCGCTTACAATTGCACGGAGGATCATGGATTCAACTTACGTCAGACGGTGGATTTGTTTTGTTCACGATGTGATCAGCAAGAATCCATCCCGCTCAGCCAGAAAACACGGACAGAAAGGGCAGAAAGGGCAGAAACAACAATGGCATTTGGCACACATGTGCCTCAAGCAAACCAAGTGATTAATTAAAAGCGGCACCGCTGGTCGAAATTAAGTGTACATCTACAGAGAGAGAGAGAGAGACCCGAGACGCACAGGAAGTCATTCCTCATCTAAGTGCAACAATGAGTGCTCCTTGCAACACATTGCAGTGCTATCAGCAGGCAACTAGTTGCTTCTAATTTTGTCAGGTTGATTGCAGGGATTCTGCCGAATTCGCCATAACTACTCCTACGCGAAAGCAAGCATAGAACTATTAATTACTATGGTTACTTTGGACTATGGCCCCTTAGAACAAACCTTTGGGAATAATTCTTTGGAAATAACATGAAACAAACCTTGGTTGATCTTGGAGGATGCATCCGGTGGGTTGCTCCATTTGCTCAGTGCAAAGAAAACACGCTTCATCCTTCTCATCACGGCGGCTAACCTGATTGGTGACGAGCCACACGCGCCATTCAAAAAGCCGAAAATCGGCACGGCGGCCATTCGAGAGTCTTGTCATCAGCTAGACTGGCAGCCATCCTGTCAGACCTTTGTGTTATTCAAATCGCTAATCAACATTCAAGTGCTTTGAGAGCCGAGAGTGATGTGACAAAACCAGTTCAAACACTACAATTTGTTGAGAATCTGTGTGACAGAAGTCTGGAGACTCTTGGGGCTTGTGTCATGCACTTTGACCGTAACCTCATTATAACCTTTCACAGCGGTTAGGCTATTGAATTGCTGCATTGACTGGCTGGTGGAATAGTAGGCAGGCCGGCAGGCCTCTTATTCAACAAACAAAAGATTGGAGTGTAAGGAGTACAGGGAAAGCATGGTGCGCATGCATTTGCTTGCTTCACTCTCCGAAACTCTAAAAATAAATATGTCTACAGTCTACAGTATATTGATTCTATATGTTCTGTACATATGGACCACCAATCCTGTGTTTTTCCAGCGTGCTTTGCAGCATAACAAAGCTAGGACGTAGGGCAACCCCCTGTAGCTATAACATGGAAGAATGAATATTACCTGCTGGGCCTATCTGGGCCTTGCATGTGGACATAGTTTCAGGCAAGTCCACATGAAAATCATCTACCTTAGGGCAGCGAAGCACTGACTGGGCCGCGCCGCGTGTCTAGGGGGCAGCGTTTTCCCCACTGGGCTGCGGCCCTGTGGCTACAGGCTGCGGCACTGCTTTCCTCATTTCTTCACCTTCTCCAAGATCACCAAACCTTCGACCTAGACGGTGAACCCACACCCTCCGAGGCCCTCCGCCCGTGGAGAACCTCCACGAATGTCGTCCCATCGGAGGAGGCAAATCAAGCGGGTTCTCCCACCAGTTCTCGTGGGTTCTCCCTGTTCTGGGCGACATGGGAAGGGATGGTCACTTGCACTAAAGGAATTGGACAGCTTGGGTGTCGAAGCTGGAGAACCGAGTGGGCAGCCCAGTGGGTTGGTGATTGTCCACGTCTAGCAGTCGACGCAGCCTAGCAGTGTATGTTTCTCGTTTTCCTGGACTCAATCAAGTTGGCGAGCGAGTGGTGACTCTTAAGCAGCACATGTGCCAGCTGAATGCTGCCAATTCAACGCCGGCCCCTGCAACAATTGAAGCGAGAAACCTTTTTGGCGTTATCCAACGAAAATACCTCCACAAACCATCACAAACCTCCATCCTCTTCTATGTCAGTGACAAAAGAAAATCACATCTGATCAGTGAAGGATTTCCCGTTCCCTGTGAAGCCCTGCCAAATGATCTGGTCACCACAATGTGATTTTTGTTCATGAAAACTAGACTGGGTCGACCCCAAAGTCACGCTCAAGCGCCTTAGACATCTTAGATTTCTGAAAAGCCCACCCCTAAGTACGTCGTGTTCCTTCTAAGAGACCAAGAACACCCGCCTTGTTGGGGGGTTTTTTGCGACGAAAGTGAGCGAGTAGACTCGCCGACTCGCCGTGCACCGGTGGGCCGGACCTTGGAGGCTTTCTTGCTCACACCTGGAGACGCACTCCGGACGAACGACTGCGTCGGAGGAGGCGGCTGTGCCGCTGGTTCTCGGGACGGAGATACGCACCTGCCAAGGACCAACAGGTAACACATCCTTACACAAGCATACACAAGCACACTAAGGATATCTAAGGTGTGTGAAAGACCCGTGCGTTATAGATCGGGACTCTAGATCTGATCTGCCGGACATGTGTTGGCATACTTCACCACCGAAAGGGACCCGAAAGACGGATCTGGCTGTTTCAGATCTTTTCTGGACACCTGTGACACCGATTCCAAGGATTCCAAGGATTGGTTGTTTCATATTCACGTCAACTCCCCCGGAGCCTTCATGGTGTTCTTTGTCTTGTTTTATATATCACGCGCGTAGCCCCTCAATTCAATCGTCCTTTCAGAAAAACTACACAAGTTGGATATTGCTGAAAGTTGGAGGTTCATTACCGAACTTCAATTTTGACTCTGTATTTCAACATTATTGTAATAGCATGATTCAGCCGGATGGCCACTTTTGTAATACTTATGTTGCCTTTCGGCCGAAAGTTTGACTCTTCTTTCAGCCAATGTCATTGGAACAACACTCGCCACACGCCAAACTCCACCCAATCCTATCACACGCTCTCGGATGAGCAAACCCCTTATTCACTGTCACAAGTTCTAAGTCCAACGAACCCCTTACACAACTCACCAACCAACTAACCAATCCAAACCAACTAACCTAACCTAACCTAACCTAACCTAGCCTAACCAACCAACCAACTGACTAAAACCACAAAAAACATTTTGAAAAAAAATCATAAACCTTCCGAACAAGCGCGGTGGTTCTTGACTCCAACGGTCCGGGATCCCCGGACGGAGGACCCGCATTGTCTCGTCGGTGTAGAGGTTCTGCCACTTCATGAGACCCTTGATGGAGAACTCAGCAGTCCAAGGGCGTAGGGCGTGAACGTCGCCCACGTCGCCTCCGCGCGACGGAAGGCTTTCTGTTTGGTATACCCTGGAAGGCCCTGGGAGTCAAAGACTATAAAAAGAATGGTCTTAAGGGGGGAACTTCCTTTACTTCAGCCGGTCAACATATAGTCGAACTGGACTTCGGTATACACCGGGTCTAGTCTAGTGACCTCCCGGGAGTCGAGAAGCAGAATCCAAGACACGCTTCAGAACAAGTACATTACCAACAAAGGTTGAGTGACCGTAAATAGGACCCGTCACCTGGGGTACCCAACTGGGATAGTCTAGTTCGGGTCCTGACCCACCTCTGTTGGGATTTGGGTCTATATCCGAAATGCACTTCGTGGATGCTGGTGGTTAGAGGGGTCGACCCCTGCTTCGCCCCATCCTCACGGCCACCGATCGGCGAAGCCGGCGGAGGGGGCGCCACCGGTGGATCCGACATGCAAATAGACCAATTGAATGAGGACACATGGGGGGAACATAAGACACCCAAACGCGTGCCGCGTGCGGGAACCAAAACACGCCCCAATTGCGGAAAAGATTTGGGGGTCTTACCATTCACCGATGAAGGCTAAATGGAGGGTGTGTGGAGAAAGGGGGTCAGCAAAAATCGCTTATACGAAGTTAGTGCATCAAAAATACCTTCCACGAAGTTCTGCGAAGGTTTCTGGGATTTCGTTGCAGTCAGTTCTCCTACTGGCCCACAATTCCACGAACTGTCCACGAATAGCCTTGGGTTCTACGAATGTCCCGCGCCTTCCACGATGTTAGTAGAATAGGTTTTTACAAAACCCTTTCTGTGCACTACCCTTCCGTTTGCCTCTGAACCGAGCCTCCGTTGGCCAGTTAAGCCCATGAACACCATCGCCTTTTGCGCTTGAACCTCCCAACCCACCGGAACTCCCCTGGAACAACTTCTGGATAACATTGTTCCAACAGAAGGCTACAGAAGGCTCTGTCTTGGGTTTTGTATGGTTTTGTGACGTTGTTCACTTGCCCCACCAGCCAAGAACATCACAAAACCGTCCCAAGAACAGCCACGTCATCAACCACGTGGCCGAAAAGAGCGGGATCTTCTGCCCAAAGATGAAGGGGTACCACTCCTGCGTGGACCCCCACCCCGTGAGTGGACTGGAGTTGGTGGGGAGGTCCTCCAATCGATCCACATCGCGCGCGTCGAAAAGAGATGAAAAGCGACGCTCGGCCAGGCTGAAACTCATCACGACATCCAGTCCAGTCAGTCCAGTCCATGTTGGACGTGTCTGTTCTCCTCGGGCCATGTTTGGGGAGAAACTCTTTGCATCTCCCGACCGGTCAGCAGAGTCCAAGCGGGTCCTGTTCGAAGTAAAGTGAAATCTGAAACCCACGTGGTGTCAACAGTCCACACGGTGCGAAAGGGATGGTGCGAGCAAAAGAGAACTCCCAGAACCCGACATTCGGTTTGGGGTTTTGGACATGCTTGGTGCACTTCCCGCACTTCCCGCTTGGTCATCTAACAGTGGGCGGTTCCCCCAGTCTTCTAACACACACACGCGCACACACACACACATAAACCCCAATGTCAAAGATTTTGGTACAACTTAGTGACAGTATGTGACAGTTGCATCGAAGGTCTGCCTGTAACCGCGAGTATATCAAGGACTGGTCAAACAACACCATGTTCCTCTGATTGTGCAGGTGCCATACATACAGTTTGACTTATCTATGATGTTTTGTCCAGCCCCAATGCACAGTTCCTGACACTGACATGTGACGACATGTCATGAAAATGGGAAGGCCATGTTACATGTTCATTGTCCATCCATGCTCATTTAAATCTATTAAATATAGGTCGTCATGTTTCATCATGTTTTCAGTTCAGGTGTCTCATGGTGTTTGCATTCGTTCGCCACTTGGTTTCCTCTTTGGACGGTGCATGCATTGAACCCATCTCTTCGCTGCACGCTCTTCGATCTCTTCGACCCACCTCTTCGCCGATGGCCACATCACCCTTGGTGGGCGTCCAAACCTCGGAGGACGAGGACGACCTCGTGGCGGGCGGAGCGAGTCGGACCCCGTGGTGAGTGAAGCTGAGGACTCTCGCGACCCGGTGGCGATTTCGTGGGCGGAGTGAGAAAAGCCCATGGTGGTCGTGGAGTCCCAAATCTCCAACGGAAACATGGAAAGAAAGCAGGCCTTTGGTCACCAAAAATGCACGCAAGTCCTCTCGCTCTCTCTTTCGCCACGGATGGTCATAGACGTACTTCTGTATCGCTTGCACATCGAATGGCGAATGTAGAACAAATGTGTAAAACTTTATTTTTATTTTTTTTTTTTAAAAAAAACTATATCAGAACATATCCCAAATGTGTTTTATAAAACACATTTGACTATATGTTGTTTGTTTCAGAACACCTTATAAATCACAAACAACATGTCCCAAACGTCTGTGCCTTCTCCGAATGCTTCATCGACAATTCTTGGCGCCCCAGCTGTCCTCCATTCCATCCTCATGTCGGTTTGGTTTTGCGGTGGCATTCCGTGGGGGAAACTCTGTCGCCAACTGTTTTGTGCGACTCTGCCACGCGGAATGGCATGTGCCACTAACATCATGATTCACTGTTCGCCAAATGCGCAAAGAGCCACAATTCCGGTAGGCAGCAGCTTCAGCGAGAGGATATGAGAGGAGGGTATTGGATATCTGAGATATCTGACCATGACTGATCTCGACTTGTTGAAGCGGGGCATATATTATATATGTGCAAGAAGTCGACGGGAAACACACGCACATACACCAAAAGCACGTTCCAAACAACTATAGTTGAAGAATAGAACGACTGAGCAAAAGAAACAGAGATCACATATAAACAACAACCTACCAACCGACCAACCAACCAACCAAGCAAACAACCAACCAACCAACCAATCAAGCAACCAACCCACCAAGCAACCAACTAACTAACCAACCAAGCAACCAACTAACTAACCAACCAAGCAAACAACAAACCAAGCAACCAA